TTTCTGTCTCTCAAAATAAATAAATAAACTTAAGAAAAAAAGTGTTATGTCATTGACTTTCACCTCCCATCCCCCCCTCTCAATTGTACCTCAGCTTCCTTCCCCCATTTTTAAACTTGGGAGAACTTAACATTTTAGCTTAGTATATTCCTTTCTTCCTACCTCAGGAAGATATATTTCATCAATTTAATGACAAAAAAATAAAGGGAGAGACAGTGACTAAAGTTCATCTTTTAAGATATGTAATGTCAACTGTGTGATTTAGAAAGAAAAAATAGTATTGAAACAAAACACAAAAGTAGCTGAAATAAAATTACTAAATCTGTAAAATTTAAACATTTTTATTTGTCTGACAATTGAAGAAGGTGTAACTTGAGTTATGTTTCTTAGATTGGAAGATTCCATTTTTATAGTTCATGTAAATATTAAGCATGGAGCTTTGATAAGTTGTATTATTTAAAGTAGTAAGTTTCCGATTTTGTCAAAATGCGCGTAGAATTTTAGCATTTCTCCCATTTACATGTTGATAGATTAAAAAATGGAAGTTGTTTTAGTTAGAATTAATCACAGTGTCGGCTGGTAGTCTTAAAAAATACGGATTTAAGATTTTACCTCTGTCTCCCTCTCATCCAGGGAAGTACCAGACACGGCTTCAGAATGTGACTCCTTAAATTCTTCCATTGGAAGGAAACAGTCTCCTCCCTCAAGCCTGGAGATATACCAGACATTGTCTCCTCGCAAGATATCGCGGGATGAGCTCTCTCTAGAGGATTCATCCAGAGGAGAGTCCCCGGTAACTGCAGATACCTCGCGGGGCTCTCCTGATTGTGTGGGTCTGACAGAAACGAAGAGTATGATCTTCAGTCCTGCCAGCAAAGTGTACAATGGCATCTTGGAGAAATCCTGTAGCATGAACCAGCTCTCTAGCGGCATCCCGGTGCCCAAACCTCGCCACACATCCTGTTCCTCCGCTGGCAACGACAGCAAAGCAGTTCAGGAAGCCCCACACGTCGCCAGGATAAGCAGCATCCCACACGATCTTTGTCATCACAGAGAGAAAAGCAAAAAGCCATCAAAAATTAAAAGCCTTTTTAAGAAGAAGTCTAAGTGAACTGGCTGACTTGATGGAATTCGTTCAAGGGGCATCTTTAAACTGTTACCTCCCATCCTCCACCCCCTCCCTTTTTTTTGTTTTAATTTTAGGAATGTAACTCCACTGGGGCTTTCCAGACTGGATGCCACAGTGGAGTGTCCTAAGGGCAACTGTCTACTGTCTGCTTATTTAAATGACTATATAATCAGTTCATCAAGCCAGTTATTACTGAGAAATCATTAAGAGATGAGACAGTTTACAGTCATTTCTGCCTATTTATTTCTGCTTTGTTATTAGTGATGTATATACAACATTTTGTTGAAAGCCACTATGGACTTACAAGCTTTAATGGACTAGTAAGCCAGCATGGGCTTGCAAAAAGTTCTTGTTTACCACACCATCTTCTTATCTTTCCACAGAGCTATTTACATCCTGGACTAAATAACTTAAAGTAAAACTAATTGCACTACCGTTTTCCAGACTGGAAAAAAAAAAAAAATCTCTGCAAGTGAAACTGTATAGAGTTTATAAAATGACTATGGATAGGGGACTGTTTTCACTTTTAGATCAAAATGGGTTTTTAAGTAGAACCTAGGGTTTCTAATTGACTTGATTTCTGGAAATGAAAACCCACGCTTTTATTATGGGAAGCTTCTTTAAATGCATTTAATATTATAAAGTTTCAAGTCCTGCTGTAAAGATCATGTTGTTTTGTTTTTCCCAGGGCTTTCACTGTGATTTACTGCATTGCAGGCTGTATGATAAAATATAAATAATTTAGGGAGAGAAGGCTCTTGATTCCTTACACATGTGCAAGAGTTAAAACTTGATTGAAGGACTTAAACATTCACAAGCTTAAGCTGAGGTTGGGGACGTGGGGATTCGAGCACTTGTTTACAGACTTTGAATAACATCAAAGAAGTTATGGTTTGTGAAGAATTTGTACTGTGGAAAAGATAATAAATTGGAGACATTATTTTGTGGGACTGTGTTGATTTTTGTTGATAACACTCCACTGAAAACACTATACATTTTCTGGAGAAGCTCAGTAAGCGGTCTTGTTGCTTAATTGCACTATAAGAAATAGTGATTTGGAAGTTGTCAACAAGTTTCTTTCCATTTTATATTGTTTGTCATACTTTTATGTAGTTTGAAATGTTTAAATGTTCTAATATCAAGATTAACAAATATAAATTTATGGTGCATTTAGATTGTGTCGTATCAATTTGTAAAGCTTGGGGTTCATTGAACAACTAGGTTATTGTAAGGGTAGCTTTTACTGTGGAGGTGGTCACATAGAGCAGAAAAGCACGGTCACATCTGGGGAGTTTTTGCCTAAATACTTTTTCTTTTAAAAATTCAGTCATCAATGATGCGGTTAATGCAGTGTGGATGGATGTTTGGATGAATAGTGGATACGTATTAGGATGGCTTTTTTAGCATTATGGCTAAAATATGTAATGTCCAACCCAGTCCCGCTTAGATGAAAATGCTGATTGATAGGAAGTTTATTTGAGATACGCTCCAAAGAAATACTTTATCAAGAATATGAACAGTCACCTGAAGTCTCCTGAAAGTTGTGGTGGTTTATTCTCTCTAGTACTGTTGTTAAAAACTATTGAGGTCTCGGATGATATTTATATATACAGATACTTATATATGTAAGAGACAGTGTTGCAAGGGCAAAACTGGATTGACTGAAGCAGACGTAGTGTTGTGGACCAATCAGAAGGTAAGATAACCTGACAGGAGTTGAACAGTGGCACTGAAGTTTATGGGGTGGGGAGATGCGTGCAGGAAGAAATGAAAAGCATTCTGGAAAGTTTCTTCAGAGTGAGGGAAATACCTTTATCTTTCTCCTTCTTAACAACCAGGCAGTTCTTCTCTTTGAAAATTGCAAAAAGGGTGAGACTTTGTGGTTTGACAGGTAGAAGAGGTAAAAGCCGCTGGGACAGGTTATGGGGTGGGAGAGGATGGCTCTAGGGGCTCCTGCCTGGCCCTCAGCCTGTTGAAGGTTAGGGAATTCTGGGTCAAAGCCACCTACGCTGGTGCATGGTGGGGGCTGGGGTGGGAGGGGCCGACTCTCAGGAACACACGGTTTGTGCTAACTTCCATGTGCTTATTTATAAACAAATTCAACCAAGGGATTTTCACTGCTGTGTGTTGCTTCCATTACTTGGCGTTAGTACAGTGCTCTGTATTTACAAACTCAACAGAGCATAATTGAGTTTTAGAAAGTCACAATAATTTCTGTATCCTATCATTTATGTGTGTAGAGTTGGGCATTTGGATGCTTTTTAAACTACCAGTTTGTTACCTTATTAACCTTATAAAACGATGGTGTTTTTCTGATTTTAAAAGTAATCCCCTCCTTATTGTAAAAAAACGATTCATAATAGAAAAGTATGAAAGAAGAAAAACGAGCAATTGGGTCAAATTCTACTACTGCCCAGTATAATTGCTTTTCAGACCTTGGTACGTTTTCTGCCAGATCATTTTCTACATATTGATACGTATTTTACATAATTGAAAACATAATATATATTTAATTTTACATCATGCTTTTCTCTTAATCTAAGCATTTCTCTAACATCGTTAAAAACTTCACGAACAACATTTTAATGACTGTCATATGCCATTGTGTGGATTTATCATAATACTTGTAATCATTCTTCTATTAACCTTTAGGTTATTTCTGATTTCTGATACGTGAAATACTAGGATTTTACATTTATTGAGCACTCTGTACTAGGCACAGTTTTAAACCCTAATATATATTCTCATATAATCTTTACACCCACCTTGTAAAATAGGTAGTTTTGTTTTGTTTTGTTTTGTTTTTTGTTTTGTTTTGTTTTTAAGAAATCATTCCACTGATGAGGAAACTGAGCCCAGAAAGTTAATAGTTTGCTGAAGGTCACATACCTAGTAAGTGGTAGTGTTAACTTCTAAGTCATACATACCACATGAATTCTAATCAACATCTTAATTCCTTAGAATATATATTTTTAGAAGTGTATAGAAAAGCTTAAAGATAATTTATATGTATGTATGTATATATGTATCTGCACACACATCGTCTTACATATATACCTTGAGTATAACTGTGTTTGAGGTTTCTTATCTGGATAGCCATGTGTATAGCCCCCCAATACTTGAGTGTATGAATGCCCCTTCACACTGTCACTTCTGAATTACCATTTGGTTAAAACTTTGCTAATTTAATCGGTAAATAATGTCTAGTATGGTTGGAAAGTTTTTCATGTTATGTATTTTTCATTTCAGTGAAGTGTCTGTTCATGTCCTTTGCCCATTAAGTTCCTGGGGTCCTAGTGTTTTTCTAAATCTTCTACGGTCTTGCAAATGTAGCTATTCTTGTATTCTCCATTTACGAACTAAAACAGTGATTTTTAAAAATCATGTTTGCAGTTTCCATGTTTATTTTTTAAAGTAAGCAAAGGAAAACCTACATAAAAGTTTTAGTCTTATCTATTGCCTGTTTTTAGGGCTTGAGTGGTTTTTCCCAAAATATTACAAAGACAATATAGAATCCACTTAATTCATTCAACAAATATTGAATAGTCCACTGAGCATCACAGACATCAGCTCTGCAGGTATAGAGACTAATGTGACCAGCACCTCCCCTAAAGGAGCTCCTCAGTATCTAGTAGGGGAGACAGACCGAACAAAAATCCTTATAATACGGGCAGTCACAGAAATGTAAACCAAATGTTGGGAAGGTGGGAGCTAATGGGGAGAGGGGCTATATAGTGCAAAAGTATTCATTAAATCAAGGACCAATGTAATGGTGCTAATTTCCAAGGACATGGAGAGATTTGCTCTGGCTGACACATTCAGATCCAAGGGCAACTTAGTATTAGGACTTCCACTAACTAGCAGTCTCGTTCTAGCAAATGAGCTTGCGGTTACTGAGTTCCAGCCGGATACTTTGTAACAGCTGGGAAGGTCCTCGTCGTGGGGTAAGTTGTTTATCAGAGAGAAGCACAGCATTTGAGCGATCCCCCCGACAGTACTGATAAGACGGTTTCCTTCCGCCTACCCCAACCCCAAAACAAGGTAGTCTTTGTTGAAGGACAGTCTCCTTTAGATTTACCCAGGTAGGCCTGATCTCATCTTGAATCCACTGGCTTCAGGCCAGCCTTGAGGATTTTGCCTCAGTCCCACGCTTGAGCTTTCCTGAGGTTTCCTGCAGGGCTCTGCAGTGGCCCTCGTGGTCCATGACCGTGTTTGCTAGAGGCCCAGATAGGACATTGCAGGGAGGCCTCAGTCCAGATCTTGATTTCTTACCTGTGAAGGGAGTGAGACTGCACCCGGGATCCTTGCATGCGTTACAGGATTTTATCTGCCAGATTCTCCATTGTCCTGATGTCCCAGTTTTTACTGGATTATGCTGTGGTGTCCTCATCAGCCTCCAAAAGTGATTGACACCAGTGCACTCAAGGTGAGGCAGACAGTTTGCCTTCCCCTCCTGGAACAGCGCCGTGGTTGTGTCCCAGGGAGACACAGTTGTGCAGCCATTCCAGATCTCCAGGCCTTAGAGCAACAAGCAGAACTTGTGATTCTGCTGCCTTCCCTCTCCCTGGTTTGCCCCGGCAGATTCCAGTTCCCTGTGAAAGTAGGACTCTAGGAGGCCTTAACTGGGTCAAAATGGTTCTTCACCCCTTGTTTCAGATTGCCACATTTTAGTGGGTTTTTTTTTTTTTTTAATATTTATTTATTTTGTGAGAGAGACAGCATGAACAGGGGAGGGGCAGAGAAAGAGGGGGAGAGAGAATTCCAAGCAGGCTCTGCATTGACAGTGGGACCTGAGATCCCAAACCTTGAGATAATGACCTGAGGTAGAATCAAGAATTGGATGCTTAACCGCCTGAGCCACCCAGATGCCCCAAGTTTCTTTCTTTTTTTTTTAATTGAAGTGTAATTGGCATGCAATATCCTATTCGTACATGATAGTGATTCAATATTTTTATACATTACAAAATGATCCCCCCCAATGA